GACCACTGGGGCTGCCCAGGCAGTGCGGAGCCGGGTGGCAGGGAGCACCATGGGGCGTGCGGGGCGTCCGTCCTCCCAGGAACGCTGCCCACTGATCGGCGGCCAGGGGCCAGCCGGTGAATGCTCCGCATTTTTTGGCAGCTCAAGGGCCTGGCTGGAAACAGTCACCGTTTTATTCTGAAGAAGCCACACGCTCTGCGCCCCAGGCCCCTCGGAGTGTGGGGGTGGATTCCAGCCGCCGCCAGGGGTTGGGGGCGGGGGGTGGAGAATGTGGAGTGACAGCAGCTCTGAGGCCAGGCAGGGTCCTGGCCCCCAACCTCCTCAGTGCAGTGATAACAATGGGGATCGAGGCCCCCAGGGGCCCCCGAGGGCCCAGGCTCTGAGCAAACAGCCTGCTGCCCCCTCCAGGGGCCCCTTGGAGACCCACGTCCTGAGGAAGCCCAGCTGCGGTGGAGGGGAGGCAGCAGCCTCCATCCTCTCAGCGGCTCTAAGGCCAGGCGGGGTCCTGGCCCCCAACCTCCTCAGTGCAGTGATAACAATGGGGATCGAGGCCCCCAGGGGCCCCCGAGGGCCCAGGCTCTGAGCAAACAGCCTGCTGCCCCCTCCAGGGGCCCCTTGGAGACCCACGTCCTGAGGAAGCCCAGCTGCGGTGGAGGGGAGGCAGCAGCCTCCATCCTCTCCTCTGGGGGTCACCTGGCTCACCCCTCATCTCAGCTCCACACGCACCGGAGGAAGGAGGGGGCACACTCTCTCCTGGTCAGGGAAGCTCCTGGAGGTGGGTGGGCGGCTGGGTGAGGCTCAGGCCTGGGGTCTGGCTTCAGCCCACGGCTCACGCTCCCTTGTCTAAGGAGCAGCTCCAACTCGCCCTTCCGTACGGCAGGGGTGGGGTGAGGAGACCCCAAGATTCCTCCCAAGAACAGCCACAGAGAAGTGACCCCCCTGCTAAGGTCACAGGGCAAGGTCATCGAAGGTCACAGGAGACCCCCAAGGCTGCAATGCTGGGCAGCCCAGGGCAGGGAGAGCCCTGCAGATCCTCCGCCCCGACCCTCTGGGCTGCTCGGCAAGTGGCCGCGGGGTGAGCAGACCCGCCCGCCCGGTGGAATTGAGGGGTTCGCTCTGCTCTCAGCCCTGGGGCGTGAGGCTGGCAGGACGCAGCAGGCGGTCCCAGCTGGCAGGGCCGTCCCAGGTTCCCAACTTCATCCTCAGGGCAGGATTCTAAGTGTGTGTGTTGGGGGGGGGGGGGGGAAGCGTGCTAGGAAGTGCAGGTGACACAGCTGTGGGGACACGCCCTGCACAGGGTTTGGGCATCGGTGCCCACAGCGCCCTCCCACGCGGGTGACCCTGGTGGGCACTGCTGACCCCTTCCACCTTCGTGGTTCATCCAAATCGACATTCTTCTAGGCTACACTCTGCATCCCTATCCGATCATCACTCAGGAGACAGACCCGTCCCGGCCAGGGAACTGCCCCCTGCCGGCTCCTCCGCTGGGAACCAGGCCCCCGACAGAATGGCCCTCGGAGACACCTCTGTCCACCCCCATCACTGCCTTCGGCTCAGGTCCCCCCTAGAGGGCCAAGGTCATGCCAAGGGCACAGCTCCGTCTCTGGACTAGACGTGGAGGGATGAGGCTGGGCACACCCAGGGGTCTGAGCCGGGCCCAGTGCAGGGGCTGGAGGGCGAGACCGGCCCCGGCGGCCAGTGTCTGCTCTTCAGTCGGGTCCACTCACTCCCAGGCCGGGCCGGGGGCCTGGAGAGAGGGAGACGCCCCACACTGCCGGGCATGCCCAACGCCTGGCACCTGCCCTCCCAGCTCCTGACAGAGCCTCCGACTCCAGCAAGGAGGGTGTGACCAGGGGACCACGGGTCTCCACGCAGGTGCACGGGCGCACAGGGCACTGCCCGGGAGGTTCTGCGATGCTGGGCCCAGAACCGCAGGAATGAGGACACGCGGAGGCAGGGGTGACAAGCTCCTGCAGGAGGCAGACAACCCCGAGACCCCAGCGGCCCCACCTCTGCCTTCGCATGGCTGACCCTCGCTCTGCCCGAGCGCAGCCCACACGGAGGCCCGACTGAGGCCTGGCTCAAGGGCACGGGGCTCCTGGACTGCAGAGGCAGCCGGCCACACCCAGTGCAGCCCAGGGTGGCAGTGCCGGTGCCGGTGCCAGCGGGAAGGGCCGCCCAAGGACACACGAGGCTCCGGGCAGACCATTCACCCGCTGGTGTCACGCAAGAAAAACAGCAGCGTCCTCGACGTCTCACAGAACAAGCACATACGTGACACGTTCATACATGACGTGAGGCACATCCTCAGGCACAGCGTCAAGCACACACCGAGGAAGCGCCCGCACGGGCCTGGGGCAGGTCACCCGCCCAAGCTGGGGGTGCTGCCCTCCAGGGGTCCTGCAAGAACCAGGGGACCCAACCAATGTGCCCACCCCTTGCCCCCCCACACCTCCCAGGGGCGTCGTTCCAAGAACCACATGGAGAAAACCTGTGCTGGAGGAATCCGATATAATAAGTGTAATATGCAAATCGCCCGAACAGCGGATCGACCGGTCAGCGGGGGCGGGGCTGGCGAGCCTCTAGTCTATATATATATAAAAGGCTAATGTGCTAAGTGTCCACCCGAGTAATGACGTCACGTAGCACCGCCCGGCCTCCTCTCCCCAGCGACTAGCCTCCTTGCAGTTTCTTCAGCCCAGGAACACGACTTGCTCTATAGCCAGGTGCAGACATTTCACACTGTAACCAAACGTCTGTGAAGCGTTTTCCCATTTGATCCTCACAGAAGTCCTGGAGTAGGCAGATAGGAGACGCAGTGGAATCCTATTTTCTTTTCATTAGCCAGAAAACAGAGATTTAGAAAGCTTAGAAACTTGACCCGACTGAACAGAAGTAAGAAATGGTGGAACTTGAAAATGACTTCAGGTTTTCTCACTGCACAGAATATAGTCAGACACGGCTGCAGTTAAATATTTTACTCTTGGTTCTCCCTGCGTGATCTACAATAATAATCTGCTTTGTGTTGATGTTTACTGCTGTGTTGCTGACAATTACCTGAAGGAGAAGTTGGGGTGCTTCACTGGGCTGGAAAAAGTTCAGCTGCATCAGAAAGCAGGTCTAATGAAGCAAGTTTGTTCTGTATCTATAAGAGGCTAAGTTGACTCGCGCATGCACCATACACATAGAGCTCTCGCTGGCGCTGATCACACGTGTATGTTTCCATCTGTCATTGTCGATCGTGAATTTGGTTGACACTTCTGTTAAGGCCGGAGAGCGAAGTTACAATATTTCTTCTAATTTCCTTTCAATGTGCACGAATCCGTGCACGGGGCCACTAGTTTCTTTATAAAAACCCCGCCACAAACACACAGACACAGGAGACAACCCTACAGGCAACTGGGGTGTGGCCTCAGGATGGGGAGCGAGGTCCCACCTCTGCATTTCACCCTCCTCATCCATGTGGCTGCTCTGAAGGGTGGACGCCTCCATCTCATGGCTACAGGCACCGGCGAAGGGGCTCCTCTGACCCATGCCCGCCAGGTTCCGGTCCCGAGAGCAGGCTGCACCCCAAGTTCTGCTGTGGGGGCCAGCCAGGGACACCCCGGGCCCAGAGGCTGTGGCCTCCCCTCCCAGGAGCCCTGGCAGCCACCACGGGCCGAGACCAGAGATGAAACCAAGACTCAGTTACCCACCGAGAAAAATGTGACCACGAATTGCGTGTCATGTGTATGGGTTTTGTTGGTGTTTTTCTTTCCCTTTTGGTTAAAAAACAAAAACAACAAAAAACGTAACAGGCTCTCAGGTATATAAAACTGGTAATATTAGATAAAAATACAAACGTCACCTTTACAAAACAAAAACGGAAAGCAACACACACACGTTCCTCTTGAGTACACGGAAGCGTAACATCTTACCAAAAATAAAGAATTTGGGTTGTGTCCTGACACGGGCAGCGGGGGAGCCGCCTCCCCGGCCACGCCCGGCAGGAGCGAGGAGCGCTGGGGACAGGAGGCGGGCAGCGGCTGATTGGTTCACGCACGGTTCTCTCAATGTGGCTTAAATTAAAAAGCAAAACGAGGTGGGGCCGGGGGAAGCACGTGCAGCCAGAAACATCTAGGAAATGCTCGCAGGCGGGTATACCATGTTTATTTAATACATCGCGTTCGCTCGCATCCTGCTGGGAAGGGTACCGTCTCGCTGTCCCGGCGGTTACAGCAGCCTGGTGTTACCGGTGTCAATGTCATCCAAGAGATAATTTAAAAAAAAAAAAAAAAAAGCTAGGCAAAGAGTAAAAAGGAAAGCTTAATAATCACTTTATGGTGTAAAAAAAAACCCACTTAAGGCTCTCAGAAAGGTTCGGTATAGACTTAAACACTAGAG